AGAATTGAATAAAATTAATACCTAATTGAGATATTAAAAAATGGATTTCACCATTAAAATTGTTGGTGAATTTTAAATAAATGATATTAATATGGTTATTTCGATTTTATATACAACTTAGAAAAAGTGATTTAAATTTAACCCTAAAAATGTGTTTTTTTAGGTTATCTTTAAAGATTAATTTCTTAAAAAGTAATCGAGGTATCAAAAAAATAATTTCACCCATAAATTTATCAAAGAAAATTGTATAAGTGCCCCAAATTTGGTGTTTTCAATTTAATACATAACCTAGAAAAAAAAATTTGAACTCAACCCCAAAAAATGTGTCAACATGAATAGTGAACTTTAAAAAATTATACCTCAAGAACTAATTGAGATATCAAAAAATGGATTGCACCATTAAAATTGTTAATAAATTTGAAATAAATAATATTAATATGGTTATTTCGATTTTATATACAACTTAGAAAAAGTGATTTAAATTTAACCCTAAAAATGTGTTAAAAAACGATTTTTTTAGGTTATCTTTAAAGATTAATTTCTTAAAAGGTAATCGAGATTTCAAAAAACTAATTTCACCACTAAATTCCTTAAAGAAAATTGTATAAGTGCACCAAATTTGGTTTTTTCAATTTGATACATAACCTAGAAAAAGAAATTTGAACTCAACCCCAAAAAATATGTCAACATGAATGGGTAATTTTTTAGGTTAACTTTAAAAAGTTATATCTCAAGAACTAATTGAGATATCAAAAAATGGATTTCACCATTAAAATTGTTGGTGAATTTGAAATAAATGATATTAATATGGTTATTTCGATTTTATATACAACTTAGAAAAAGTGATTTAAATTTAACACTAAAGATGTGTTTTTTTCGGTTATCTTTAAAGATTAATTTCTTAAAAAGTAATCGAAATTTCAAAAAACTAACTTCACCACTAAATGTCTTAAAGAAAATTGTATAAGTGCACCAAATTTGGTTTTTTCAATTTGATACATAACCTAGAAAAAGAAATTTGAACTCAACCCCAAAAAATGTGTCAACATGAATAGGTAATTTTTTAGGTTAAGTTTAAAAAGTTATATCTCAAGAACTAATTGAGATATCAAAAAATGGATTTCACCATTAAAATTGTTGGAGAATTTTAAATAAATGATATTAATATGGTTATTTCGATTTTATATACAACTTAGAAAAAGTGATTTAAATTTAACCCTAAAAATGTGTTAAAAACGATTTTTTTAGGTTATCTTTAAAGATTAATTTCTTAAAAAGTAATCGAGGTATCAAAAAAATAATTTCACCCCTAAATTTTTAAAGAAAATTGTATAAGTGCACCAAATTTGGTTTTTTCAATTTGATACATAACCTAGAAAAAGAAATTTGAACTCAACCCCAAAAAATATGTCAACATGAATGGTGAACTTAAAAAAATTATATCTCAAGAACTAATTGAGATATCAAAAAATGGATTGCACCATTAAAATTGTTGGAGAATTTTAAATAAATGATATGAATATGGTTATTTTGATTTTATATACAACTTAGAAAAAGTGATTTAAATTTAACCCTGAAAATGTGTTAACAAACGAATTTTTTAGGTTATCTTTAAAGATTAATATCTTAAAAAGTAATCGAGATTTCAAAAAACTAATTTCACCACTAAATTTCTTAAAGAAAATTGTATAAGTGCACCAAATTTGGTTTTTTCAATTTAATACATAACCTAGAAAAAGAAATTTGAACTCAACCCCAAAAAATGTGTCAACATGAATAGGTAATTTTTTAGGTTAACTTTAAAAAGTTATATCTCAAGAACTAATTGAGATATCAAAAAATGGATTTCACCATTAAAATTGTTAAAGAATTTTAAATAAATGATATTAATATGGTTATTTCGATTTTATATACAACTTAGAAAAAGTGATTTCAATTTAACCCTAAAAATGTGTTAAAAACAATTTTTTTAGGGTTATCTTTAAAAAGTGATATCTCAAAAAGTAAACGAGATTTAAAAAAAATGATTTCACCACTAAATTTCTTAAAGAAAATTGTATATGTGCACCAAATTTGGTTTTTTCAATTTGATACATAACCTAGAAAAAAAAAATTGAACAGAACCCCAAAAAATGTGTCAACATGAATGGGTAATTTTTTAGGTTAACTTTAAAAAGTTATATTTCAAGAACTAATTGAGATATCAAAAAATGGATTTCACCATTAAAATTGTTGGAGAATTTTAAATAAATGATATTAATATGGTTATTTCGATTTTATATACAACTTAGAAAAAGTGATTTAAATTTAACCCTAAAAATGTGTTAAAAAACGATTTTTTAGGTTATCTTTAAAGATTAATTTCTCAAAAAGTAATCGAAATTTCAAGAAACTAATTTAACCACTAAATTTCTCAAAGAAAATTGTATAAGTGCACGAAATTTGGTTTTTTCAATTTAATACATAACCTAGAAAAAGAAATTTGAACTCAACCCCAAAAAATTTGTCAACATGAATAGGTAATTTTTTAGGTTAACTTTAAAAAGTTATATCTCAAGAACTAATTGAAATATAAAAAAATTGATTTCACCATTAAAATTGTTGGAGAATTTGAAATAAATGATATTAATATGGTTATTTCGATTTTATATACAACTTAGAAAAAGTGATTTAAATTTAACCCTAAAAATGTGTTAAAAAACGATTTTTTTAGGTTATCTTTAAAAAGTGATATCTCAAAAAGTAAACGAGATTTAAAAAAACTAATTTCATCACTAAATTTCTTAAAGAAAATTGTATAAGCGCACCAAATTTGGTTTTTTCAATTTAATACATAACCTAGAAAAAGAAATTTGAACTCAACCCCAAAAAATGTGTCAACATGAATGGGTAATTTTTTAGGTTAACTTTAAAAAGTTATATCTCAAGAACTAATTGAGATAACAAAAAATGGATTTCACCATTAAAATTGTTGGCGAATTTTAAATAAATGATATTAATATGGTTATTTCGATTTAAATTTAACCCTTAAAATGTGTTTTCTAAGGCCAGAACTTTTTGGCTGTGTTTTACTTTGTTTCTGGATTTTAATGAAAACATAATTAAGTGATTTTGTATACTTACAAGTTGTGAAGAGCAAAATCTTCGTACATCCTGTATAGTTCTGTTTCTGAGTTCGCTGTTAGCTGCGATGTCCACAAGCGAAATCTGCAACAATAAAAAAATAGTAAGAATCAAATAGAAAAGGAACAAATAAAAACGTGAATCGTTCTTCGATGTATTTATTAAGGGGGCGTTCTTCCTCGGTAAACAAAAGGTGCCACCTACCGACGCCGAAGGTACTTTATTTTAAATATCGCCCAGGGGAGTCCACGGCATGGGACAAAACAGCTATTTGTCCACGTCTCAAATTCAACTCTGCCTCGTGTATCAAACATCCACGCAAAAAAAGAACTGTTCCTTTCGTTTACTTCGAAAACAAATATTCGATTTGAACATAAGGTTAAAAAAAAATCTGAACTAAAAACATTACCGTAACGAATCGATTTTGTTTCTGTGAAGTCATTTGCGTTTGTAAACGCGGGTTCACCACTCGCAGACATCTGTCGGTGTCATTATAATTTTACGTTCACGACGAGGATAAGAAGAAGGAAAACGAGACGGTATGGAGGAGTTAGTAATGGCAAAATCGATACTCAACATGATACCCTCACACAAAAAGGAAAATATAAAGATAAAGATAAATAAAAGAAAATCGAAAGTATAAAGAAGTTTTGGAAGGTGACACGTACCAAAAAATCCTGCGTGTCTCTCAGCAGGACATTCGATTCCTGCTGGTAAAATATTACCAAGCCGTTTATAACCTCAGCGCGCATTCAATTTTTCTTTTATTTTTAATACTCAAATGTTGCGTATAAAGAAAAGTCCTTCTTCTTCAAGTTGTTGTTATTTAATCCAAGAATAGAAATATATACTGTGTATGCAAAGAAAATGCAAATGTACTCCACACGACGTGAAAACCAACTCGTAAGGAATAACGATAAGAAGGTGTATGCAAAAGACGTTTCGGACGATTTAGAATTCCCAAACGGAAATCTAAACGCGACTAGAATTTATGGGGAAGAAAAAATCTTTTCAAAAACGTGCATGGAATAATTAGGGAAGATTAAAAAAAATGCGACGAAACGCAAATTGAATTTTAAATAACTTTTTAGTAATAAAAAAAAACGATTGTTCTTGAAAGAGATGAGCAAAACGAATGATTTGGGGATAAAACGACTTTGTGGGTACTGGATACGACAGAAAACTAAATAAATCACTTTTGGGGTCATGGAGAATGTGGTGAATCATTTTATCTTGCTACCGAGAGAGTTTTTCGACATGAGAAATGGTCAAAAATAAATTAGAGCTAAAAGAATTAATTACTTATCAAAGAATAAATTGAATTACGATGTACTCTTAAGAAGCAAAAAAAAAATCAAAGAGATTCTTTTCAATCTATTGAATGTATTGTGCGATAAGCGACATTTTAGGGAGGGTGAACCTTTAGAAAAACTACAGAACATTTTTTTTTCGTCCCCACATCTCCCGTCATTCACAAAACTGAATTAAACCGCACAATGGGTCCCCTATATAGTTCTTAAACGGAGCGAGTAATGCGATATTGTGCCAACCTTTCGGCGTTATTTTGACAGGAAATCGCCGTTTCTCGATTATTATGAAATATAACCGCTCATCTTTCATTCCCACTTCATAAGTTGTACCCAAAAGAAATTTTAAAGCAAATCTAAAAATATAACCTTTTTAAAGCCACTCATTTCTAGAAACCTAGAAATAGTATTTTTTTTAAGAAAGGATTTTTTTAAACTAAACCGTAATAAAAACAAAATGGTAAACATTAAGAAAAAAGGGGGATATTTAAAAGTCTCGAAACGCGCACAGATATTCGTTTCAACTTCAAACGAACGACATAGAGACGAAATAGAGCGTCAAGTCGTAAGTCAAAGGCCCCGTATTATACAAAGAAACCCGTATATTAACCTTACGACACACGATTTCCGGGTCACCCTGTACATTGAAACTATTTCTTTCTTTATCTTTGGTTCTTTCGGATTAAAAGGAAACGAAGAAAAATTAGAGAGGGAAAAAGAAAAAATCGGACGGACGTTTATTTTTACGACTATTGAAGAAATAAAGCAAAGTTAAGGAATTAAGTGACGCGTTGAAATGTTTATTTAGATATCTTTTTAAGAATCATTTATGTTGGAAGTTAAAAAAAATTGAATAAAATTAATACAGAAATTTATTTAAATGATATTAATATGGTTATTTCGATTTTATATACAACTTAGAAAAAGTGATTTAGATTTAACCCAAAAAATGTGTTAAATAACAATTTTTTTGGGTTATCTTTAAAAATGATTTTCTCAAAAAGTAAGCGAGATTTCAAACAACTAATTTCACCACTAAATTTCTTAAAGAAAATTGTATAAGTGCACCAAATTTGGTTTTTTCAATTTAATACATAACCTAGAAAAAAAAATTTGAACCCAACCCCAAAAAATGTGTCAACATGAATGGGTAATTTTTTAGGTTAACTTTAAAAAGTTATATCTCAAGAACTAATTGAGATATCAAAAAGTGGATTTCACCATTAAAATTGTTGGAGAATTTGAAATAAATGATATTAATATGGTTATTTCGATTTTATATACAACTTAGAAAAAGTGATTTAAATTTAATCCTAAAAATTTGTTTTTTAGGTTATCTTTAAAGATTAATTTCTTAATAAGTAAGCGAGATTTTAAAAAACTAATTGCACCACTAATTTTCTTAAAGAAAATTGTATAAGTGCACCAAATTTGGTTTTTTCAATTTAATACATAACCTAGAAAAAGAAATTTGAACTTAACCCCAAAAAATGTGTCAACATGAATGGGTGATTTTTTAGGTTAATTTTAAAAAGTTATATCTCAAGAAGTAATTGAGATATCAAAAAATGGATTTCACCATTAGAATTGTTGGAGAATTTTAAATAAATGATATTAATATGGTTATTTCGATTTTATATACAACTTAGAAAAAGTGGTTTAAATTTAACCCTAAAAATGTGTCAAAAAACAATTTTTTTGGGTTATCTTTAAAAATGAATTTCTCAAAAAGTAATCGAGATTTCAAAAAACTAATTTCACCACTAAATTTATCAAAGAAAATTGTATTAATGCACCAAATTTGGATTTTCCAATTTGATACATAACCTAGAAAAAAAAATTTGAACCCAACCCCAAAAAATATGTCAACATGAATGGGTAATTTTTAGGTTAACTTTAAAAAGTTATATCTCAAGAACTAATTGAGATATCAAAAAATGGATTTCACCATTAAAATTGTTGGAGAATTTTAAATAAATGATATTAATATGGTTATTTCGATTTTATATACAACTTAGAAAAAGTGATTTAAATTTAACCCTAAAAATGTGTTAAAAAACGATTTTTTTAGGTTATCTTTAAAGATTAATTTCTTAAAAAGTAATCGAGGTATCAAAAAAATAATTTCACCCCTAAATTTATCAAAGAAAATTGTATAAGTGCCCCAAATTTGGTTTTTTCAATTTGATACATAACCTAGAAAAATAAATTTGAACCCAACCCCAAAAAATGTGTCAACATGAATGGTAATTTTTTAGGTTAACTTTAAAAAGTTATATCTCAAGAACTAATTGAGATATCAAAAAATGGATTTCATCATTAAAATTGTGGGTGAATTTTAAATAAGTGATATTAACATGATTATTTCGATTTTATATACAACTTAGAAAAAGTGATTTAAATTTAACCCTAAAAATGTGTTAAAAACCATTTTTTTTAGGTTATCTTTAAAAATGAATTTCTCAAAAAGTAAGCGAGATTTCAAAAAACTAATTTCACCACTAAATTTATCAAAGAAAATTGTATTAATACACCAAATTTGGATTTTCCAATTTGATACATAACCTAGAAAAAAAAATTTGAACTCAACCCCAAAAAATGTGTCAACATGAATGGGTAATTTTTAGGTTATCTTTAAAAAGTTATATCTCAAGAACTAATTGAGATATCAAAAAATGGATTTCACCATTAGAATTGTTGGAGAATATGAAATAAATGATATTAATATGGTTATTTCGATTTTATATACAACTTAGGAAAAGTGATTTAAATTTAATCCTAAAAATGTGTTTTTTTAGGTTATCTTTAAAAATTAATTTCTTAATAAGTAAGCGAGATTTCAAAAAACTAATTGCACCACTAATTTTCTTAAAGAAAATTGTATAAGTGCACCAAATTTGGTTTTTTCAATTTAATACATAACCTAGAAAAAAAAATTTGAACTTAACCCCAAAAAATGTGTCAACATGAATGGGTAATTTTTTAGGTTAATTTTAAAAAGTTATATCTCAAGAACTAATTGAGATATCAAAAAATGGATTTCACCATTAAAATTGTTGGAGAGTTTTAAATAAATAATATTGATATGGTTATTTCGATTTTATATACAACTTAGAAAAAGTAATTTAAATTTAACCCTAAAAATGTGTTAAAAAACAATTTTTTTAGGTTATCTTTAAAAATGAATTTCTCAAAAAGTAATCGAGATTTCAAAAAACTAATTTCACCACTAAATTTATCAAAGAAAATTGTATTTAGATTTTCCAATTTGATACATAACCTAAAAAAAAAATTTGAACTCAACCCCAAAAAATATGTCAACATGAATGGGTAATTTTTAGGTTATCTTTAAAAAGTTATATCTTAAGAACTAATTGAGACATCAAAAAATGGATTTCACCATTAAAATTGTTGGAGAATTTGAAATAAATGATATTAATATGGTTATTTCGATTTTATATTCAACTTAGAAAAAGTGATTTAAATTTAACCCTAAAAATGTGTTAATAAACGATTTTTAATGTAGATTACGAATATTAACCTTTCTTTGTGGGTTCAACCTGACTTTTCTTTGCATTTTATTTGATTCGAAATCGATTTAATATAAAAACATGTAAAAAATATCAAAATTGATTTTATTCATTAAAATGAACAAGATTTTCGTAATAATCAGAAAATTTTAACTTAATTTGATGTCTCACACTCTATATTTATAAAAAAAAATCAATTTTAAATTCATAGATGACATAATTAATTAGTGTTTTGTTTTCCGCCATCTTGATTTTATAAAAAACAAGATATCTTGAGTATTAAAACACTTAGATATGTCGAGTTTGGACTCGTTTTATTTATTTTTTGATCATCTATCGGAATATTTAGGAATAATTAATTTTCGGCCATCTTGGATTTTATAAAAATGTAAAAATTAAAATATTTCGGATGTTTTAATTGTAAAATAGGTCGAGTTTGGATTCATTTAAAAGGATTTTTTATGAAAATTAATTTATATATAGGAAGGATTTTAATAGATACGTAACAGACTCATCTTCTTCTTCAAATGAGACTAAACAACGTCCAGATGTTCGCATGTTTAATGTGTAATCGACACCCATGTGACAAAAGACGCGAACACTAACAAATGGTTAACAATTACGTGAGGATACAAAAATGTATGAAGATTAAAATCTACGGAGTAAAAAGGAAGGTATAAATAATAAAGAAAATAAAAGTGGCTGAAACGAGAACTGAATAATTTTGTAATTAACGCCATTCGCAGCGTCGCCGGTTGTAAATAATCAACTTAAACCGGATATGGCAGTTTAATTCAAAAGCAATCCTGACGTACTAGTTCCTGTCCCAGTAGCGGACCTGAATTTTAATCGGTTTTTGTTGGAATTTAATGTTAAAACATTGTTTTAAATTTTATTTTAAATAGACACCCGCATGGTACGATTCTAGAAGTCATTTCGACTCCGACAACGAACAAAAAACGATTTTAATAATTCACAATTAGGTTAAGTGCTTACAGTTGTGTGTTGGTTGACTGTTAAAATATGCGCCACTAAATAACCTCTCAGGGTCAAAGAACTTCCTCGATTTTTATATCATTTCAAAATTTGAAAATAGTTTTCGAAATGGTTAATATATTGAGAAAAAGAGTCGGAACGTTTAAAATAGCAATGGAATTCACTCACTCGACAGAGAGAGGAGGAGTAGAGAGTGCGTGTGCGAGATGATTTCTTTTTTCTGCTTGTTGCGAAGAGTTCAAAGACAGGAATAATATTGGACCGTGTCCAAAGGTTCGTGTAGTTTCGGTGTCGCCAAAATAATTTTTGTTTTTCCGCCGGACGCCCGAACCGTTTGATCTCAACTTCTTTCGTTTTGTAATCAAAAGCACACATTTCATTTCATTTCATTTCACAACGAAAGAAGTTTCCTTTAAATTTAAAACGAGATATTTTTGGGTACTCACCTTTTCGCAAACGTTTTTACAGGAACCAGTGGTGTGCGAGCAACAAACAAATTCTGCAACAAAAAATAAATTAGTTAATTTTAAATCAATCTTAGAAAGAAATTTCCATCTCAAAGACACCCATTTGAATTTCAGAGGGGTGGACATCGAATGGGGAAATGAAAACCCCGTTCAGGTTTTCGATTTGCATCTCACAAAGTGTTAGGAACCGAGAAGTCGAAATTTGCATTCGAAAAGGAGGATTTTTTTATGATATTAAAACTTTTTTTGCATACTTGGAGAAGTAACTTTATTATCTTTATTATCCACACGCCATCAAAACTACTATAACCGTTTCGTGAGGGCGTTAAAAACTTAAATTAGTTCGACTCCAGCTCTTGGAACTCGAACTTTAAACTTTGCGGTGAAATTTAGTTCCTAAACTTTATTATCGCACTAGATTTAATCAAATTACGAAAAATAACTTTACTACGTAAACATACGGAATAATACAACGCACTTAAATTTCAAAACACAACAATTTAAAACAAACTAAAGAGAGTATTGTGGCGAAGTGAGCGAGATGAGACACATAAATAAGAGCCAATTGTACTACTAAAGAGTATAACATCCCAGACAGCGACAACATCCATCCACTCCAGTTATTCAATTATAATTTTTTCACAATTAACTGATTATTATTTTTGAAATAATTTCTTATTACCTTGGCAATTTGTAAATGTAAAAGTTGAAATAAATAGAATCAAACCACAAGAGATAATAAATTTGGAACAAAACGACGATGTCGCGAACATTATTTTTTGGCACGTGTATTAAACGCGCTCCCTCGCAGATCTCATCTCCGCACGAGCGCACGATTCGAACTAGATGAGAAGACGACGACGACGCCGAAGAAACCGACGTCGTTGGTTCGCAACGCCACCGCCAATACATACATGTATATGTATATGTAAATAGTTTTGGATGTAACCCGCCTACGATTTACACCGTTAAAGCGATATTTTTTATCTTTTTCTTCCTTGCAGCACGATAATCTCTCCGTAGTCTGCGTAGAGTTTACATCGAGATACTCGGAAAGGTTAAAAGATCCAAAATGACCTGTTCCATTTCATAACAGTCTTGAGAAATTGAATGTTTATGAGTAAAATGACTTATATTCTTACGAAGATGTTAATTTCTTATGTTGGGATAGAAAAAGAATGAATCAAGTGATTGTCATTCGAGTTAACGCAGACAACTTGTTTATAGAATTACAATGAGCACTCCTTGTTACGTTTTCAATATGCATATAAAACGCCTCGTTTCGAAACGGAAAGATCGAGGTTTTAGAAAAACAGAGCCGGAATCAGGATTATACATGAAAAAATATTATTATAATCGAGAACATTAGTAAAAACGATTTTTTTTAGGTTATCTTTAAAGATTAATTTCTTAAAAAGTAATCGAGGTATCAAAAAAATAATTTCACCCCTAAATTTATCAAAGAAAATTGTATAAGTGCCCCAAATTTGGTTTTTTCAATTTAATACATAACCTAGAAAAAGAAATTTGAACTCAACCCCAAAAAATGTGTCAACATGAATGGGTAATTTATTAGGTTAACTTTGAAAAGTTATATCTCAAGAAGTAATTGAGATATCAAAAAATGGATTTCACCATTAAAATTGTTGGAAATTTTGAAATAAATGATATTAATATGGTTATTTCGATTTTATATACAACTTAGAAAAAGTGGTTTAAATTTAACCCTAAAATTGTGTTAAAAACGATTTTTTTAGGTTATCTTTAAAGATTAATTTCTTAAAAAGTAATCGAGATTTCAAAAAACTAATTTCACCACTAAATTTCTTAAAGAAAATTGTATAAGTGCCCCAAATTTGGTTTTTTCAATTTAATACATAACCTAGAAAAAGAAATTTGAACTCAACCCCAAAAAATGTGTCAACATGAATGGGTAATTTTTTAGGTTAACTTTAAAAAGTTATATCTCAAGAACTAATTGAGATATCAAAAAATGGATTTCACCATTAAAATTGTTGGAGAATTTTAAATAAATGATATGAATATGGTTATTTCGATTTTATATACAACTTAGAAAAATGGGTCTGTGTGGGTTCCAACCTAACTTTTCATTTTTGCATTTTATTTGATTTTTGTATCTAATTGTTCAATATTAATGAAAATAAATATGTTTAATTATGATAATATAAAAGAAATGTTAATTTGCGTAAATTTAGATAATTTTGAAATTATAACCTAAAATAAAAACGAAATTATCGATCAAACTTCCATAGAAACACATCCAATGTCTGGTTTCTAAACTGAAAACGTCTATTCTATCAATTTTAATTAACTTATAAGATTTTGATTTAAATCTAATAAATAAAATGGAATCCCGATGGTATTTATTACCGGGACAAACCATCGAAAACACAAAGATTTCGGAAAGGGGCCATGCCCTTCACGTTTCAAACACAGCATGGAAAAAAATTACAGGACATTTAGATCGGAAAAAAAATATTGAAGATGCTATAGAAGCAGAACGAGCTCATCGGCAAGCTTTGAAAGAGGGAAGCGATGCAATGACCAAAAATTGGCCGGATTCAATTGAAGTAAATAGAAATAATTACTAAATTAAGGTTAAAATAAGTTGTTCTAGCACGTCCATATGCACAAAGAAATGGAAAGAAAGAAACAAGCTGAAGAATTAGATCGGCAACGCATGGAAAATTTTTACGTTCTTCGTCAAGAACAGGCAGATATTAAAGAAGCTTTTATGGAAAAAGTAAAACGGACAATGTTTTACTCAAAAAGTTATCCGAAAAGTATAAACGGAGCTTTAATGTTTTCGGAGACGTTGTACGAACGCGGCAAACAAATCGAATTTAAAAAAATAATCAATCAACATTACGTGGACGAAGAGAAAAAAGAAGCGGAAAAAATTAGGCAAGCTGCCATAGAAGAAAAACAAGAAAATGAAGAAAAAGCGGCTGCGATTCGTAAAAAAAATGAGGGATTTTGCAAAACTTATTTAAAACAAATCCAAGACAAAGAAGAATGTCGGAAAAAACTGAGAGAAGAAAGGATAAAGGAGGAATTACTCGACAATGAACATGCCAAAAAAGAAATGGAGTTGGAAAAACAAATTCAATTTGAGGAGGTAAATAAAACTTAAAAATGATTTGGATTTTTAATTCATTTTTATCTTACAGAAAGTGAAAGAAAAAGCCGAACGAAAAAAAGAAGTCCAAGAATTCTTATCAGAAGCAGGCGAATTTAAACGATTGATAAAAAAAGAAGATGACGAAGTCGAAGAAGTTATCCAAGTTTTTGAAAAAGCTAAAAAACAAATTGAATGTAAAAGAGCACAAAGAGTTCTTGAGGTAAATTATTTTTTTTGTAATATAATAACACAATAATACTAAAATTTAATATTTAGATGCGAGAACAAGAACAAATAAGAAGAGAAATGGCAAGTAGAGCTGCCGTAGCCGGCGAAAAAGCTAAAAATGAAGCTTTTGAGCGTTCAATTCAACGAGCTAAAGAAGAAGCGGATGCGCGTGAAGCCGCAGCAGAACAAAGTCGTATCGAAAAAGCACAACGTTTACGAAAAGAACGCGATGAAGATCGCCAAAATTATCTACTTAAAAAAGCGGAACAAGACCGATTAATCGCCGAAGGGAAAAAATGGGAAATGATGAATCGTCTAAAACAAAACGAATGCAACAAAGTGCACGACCAAATAAGAGCCCAAGAAAATTGGGACAAAAAGCTTCAATTTAGACACGAAATTTTAAAACAAATCGCCGAAGATAAAATACGAGGAGAGTCCCATCAAAAGGAAATTAACGAATACGTCAAAATGAAGCTGAAATTAGCTGACGATGAATTCTTTGCCTACGCTAATCATGTTATCGAAGAAGCCAAGAGTAACGGAAGGAATACATATCCTATTGAAAAGATAGTCGATGAGTATATAAAGGAAAATATGATCGATCCGGGTAAGAAGCATGAAAAAATTTGTCAAAAAGAAGATGGGACTTCTATGCTTGGTAATGTTAAAATGGTTAATATTACTCCTGGTAAAATGGCTCATGATCCGCGTGCAGATCCTAATTATCGCCGGTGTCCGTGTCATAAAGAAGAACTTTACAAGTAAAAATGTTTTATACTAAAACTAAAAGTATACAAATTTCTTGTAATTAAAAGCATATTTACCTTTAATTCTTGAAGATTTTCACGATTAAATTTATTGAAACACTTTTAGGTTATGTTTATATCACAACTTGACAGCTACAAGCTACAATCAATACAAACATGAAGTTAGGTAATTTTAAAATCTTAATAATTTTATTAATATAATTAAAAATATTTGAAAGGATTTAAATTCTTAAATAAATAATTAATTTATTATGATTTTGCGTTAATTTAAAACACTTATACTATTTGTTTTAACTTAAAATCTTTGTGACGTGATTATTTAGGTTGTCCGAAACGAGATGGCGCAATGATGATAAAGAATTATTTAAAAACACTAATTTAATTTAAACAAATTTAATTGAAATATATCATAATAATCAATTATGTTTGTAATTGAATTGTTTTAAAATATTTTAATTATAATTTAATTATTAAAAAAATTTATTGCCAACTTAAAAAGAAATCAAAATTGACAGAAAATTTTGAAGGGTAAGTGTCAAAATATTAAAAATATTAAGAAAATAAGAGGAATTATGATTAAAATTCGTTATTAACATCGATAAATCAATTCTTTATTCACATACTGACACCACCTACATATTTATAAATAATTTCAATTCTTTTAATATTTTATAATAACATCGATTTCATTAAAATATCTCTTTATGCAATATGCAATAAATAATTGGAATGTTTCAATTGGAATTACAATATAATGTATGTAAATGTTTAAAAAAACCATGCAATAGCAGCAAAGATAATTTCACCTCTATTTGAGGTTCAAAAAATAGGAATGTATCGTTGTTCAATAGTTAGACGGATATGTCCTGAAGTTACTCTGTATATAATCCTGAATAATCCTGTATAATTCGCCAATTATGCTTATTAAATAATTATTTCTCTTAAAATATTCATTTTGGACACTTATGTATAATTAATTACGATTTTTTCTCTTCATAGGACGGATTCAAACCGAAATTCATTCGAAGTTGCTCAAAAAATACAAAAGTTAATATCGTATGTGGACCAAGCCTGAAAAATGCTGGGATGAATCCTTTGAAGAAACCGGCTGGTCCTAATTTAGCAGTGTGCATTATTAAGTCGCCTAAACTTTTAAATTCGCCCGGTTTGGCGTTCATCGATCTTGTTTTTAAAACATCAAGAGGTTGAGTGAGTAACGTTGCAAAACCAGCCTAAAAAAAATGTAAGTAATAATCTTATTGATTGATTTATTGATTAATATACATACAGCAACTAAACTAGATGTAAAATGAGTTGTTAAATTGTCTTGGAAAAACCCTGTACTTAATAATAAAATTTTGATTTGATCATAAAACGATAATTGTCCGATGGTCATAAAAACAGCCCTACTTGTAGCCATTGTAGCCCCATTAAATAATTTTCCAACACCTTCTTGTTTCGCCACGCTAAATAATCCATGCACGGCGTTCGAATAACTAAAATAATATTAAATTGAATAAAATTTATTAATTAAATTCATTTTGATTCACTTTCTCCGTTGTTCCAGCGGTAATTTAATATCATTCTGCATACGGACATTAACCATATCAGCGGGGGTTCCCACTAAACCACCAGCAGCACCCGCCACCGCAGCCATACCCACCCTTTTTACAAAAGTCATATCGTTAGGATCAGAAACGCTCTTCATGTATTCGTAAATTCCGAAACGAGTCGTGGAATAAGTGAGTTGACGAAGAAGTGACGCCGATAATCCATTGTAAAGTGAAAAGAATCCTAAAAAAAAACATAGTAAGTAAATAATAAGATTTTATCTTTAATAATAAAATAAATTCAAGGATATTATTGTGAAAACGCTTTCTTATCAGCAATAATATCTATAATTTAATCTTTTAAGAAACATAATCTTTCAATAATCTCATAATAAATTATATAATATCCTTGGATTTGGAGCGGAAACTCGAAATTAATCGATTTTGAGAATGTTGTGTAAGATAAACCCTAATAGGATGATGTGTATACAATTAGAAGTTATATTCTAAACTTATATTGATAAAAACTAATATCTAGAGCTAACAAGAAATATTACGCTATTTGGATAACCACGAAAACATGAGCAGACTCACCTCGTAAATTGACGTTTAAAATATTAATGTTCCAATTTTAATAATTAATTTTGATGTTCTATTTTTCTACATCAATATTAATGTGTAAAATTGGTTAAGTAATCAATTCTACTCTCAATTAATACTTAGAAAAAGAATTTTTGGAATTAATCTTGAAATTTTGACGAAATTTAATTTTTTACTTGTCATTTGATGTTTTAAATGTCAACTTGACGTTTAAATTATTTAATTACTTAAAATTAATTTTGACTTTTATTTTTCAACACTAATATTAATTTTTGCAAATTAATATTAGTGATTAATCATTTCTATTCTCAATTAACATTTAAAAAATGAATTTTTAGAATTAATCTTGTAATTTTGACGTATAAATGTCAAATTAAATTTTTTACTTGTCATTTGATGTTTTAAATGTCACCTTGACGTTTAAATTATTTAATAACCTAAAATTAATTTTGAAATCGTTTTATTTTTTGTAATAATTATGATTAACGATAAAAAAATGTTCTTTTTATAAAAAAAAACTATAATGTTATATTCACCAACGAAGAATGTCGATGTAGAGTGTTTACTCGATTAGATAAAAACCGATTTTCGGTCAGTTCTCTCGATACAGTCCGGTTTAGAGTAGCCTGATGAATTTTACTCCTTCTCCCACCGAAAACCGACAACTTTCATCTTCCGATATACTCTCAAGGTCATTTTTGCGTTTCTGTTCAGATAAAACTTGTTACATAGCAATAACCCATAAAGTAACACAATAAAACGTATTAACAGTATCAACTAAATCAACAATTTAGCTAATAATTATCGTGACGCAACTCGGAGCCAGGAAAACATCATTAACGTCTCATTTAATAAATTTAGTGGTGTTAGTTTTGGTTACAAGTTTTTTCCAATGACGTGAAAAACAACGTTACGTTTTTGTTTTAACAGCAAATTAGATTTTAAATTAAATGACCTTGAAATTTTTGGAATTAATTTCGATTCTATTCCAATTCGATTTTATTTCAATTTACATTCAATGAGAATTATTTACCTTGAGTTTTAACGACGTGAATAGCCATTTGTCCCATACCCATCTTAACTTGTTGTTGAGTTTGCAACATAACTTTTATCGTATCCAAAGGGTGAGTTATACAAGCAGCTCCACAAGAGCCCAATCCTCCAAAGTACCATTTTGCAACCCTTTTCTTTTTATCTTCACTCATTTTTCCTACTTTTAATTGGGGCAAAAACAACCAAAAATTAATCTTTTTAAAAGGTCATCGCTTAAAAACTTATTAATTAATTTAAAATTAATCTAATCGTTTACAACTCTACTTATATTATTCGACTAACCGCGGTTTAGTTCCCCACCGAACTGATATATTATTACAAAAGTTTTTTTGATTACGTGAAATTCACGCGCCTTTTTAGCGCCATCTATTACCGAAAACCTAAAACTGTCTCTTGACATAATCATTTTAATTAGTGAGGTTATGTTATATTAACACCCGAGTTTAAAGTTTCGTTTTGTTGTGTTTTAATTTAATTAACTCATTTTAATCGACTCACCCAATTTCGAAGCTAAATCCTACACATAAAGGTAAATCAAAATTTACATCTCCCCATTTTTTGGTTATTTTAAAACCAAATCTGTCGTTAAGAATAAAATCGTTGTGCTGACACACATTTTTCTTAAAATTCCCTCAATTAATCATATCACGCAATATCACACCACGCTTTTCTTTGAATTATTTAATTTGTAGATAAAATCAATTCCAAAAGTGGACAACTTCATGTGAATCAACAAAGATGGAAAGGGGTGAAGTTTGTAATAATAAATTGATACAAATCTTGAATATTAAAGATCAAAAAGTGATTATAATCAAGGAAAATCATCTGGCTGAAGCTCAATTTATAATTCCCCATTTACTAGTAAAAATTTTGAATCAAAGTTACTCCGAAATTTGTTTTGTAACCTTACATAAACCTTTACAACATTATAAAACGTGTTGTAAAAAGCTTGGGTATAAATTAGTCGAAAATAATCGTATATTTTGCATTGAAAATTTCCACGAAATCATTTTTGAATTGGACGAAACACCGAAAGAAGAATTATCAGAACACATCGTTAAAGAATTTTTAAAACAAGTCATGTCAATTCTGAATCAATTAAACAGAGAACGATATTTAGTAATCGACGATATTACGCATTTATTGGATTTAGGAATTGAAATCAAACACATAATGAATTTAGTGAACATGCTGATTAATATGAACATTACTTGCATTTTTGGGACACATAAATCTGAGGAGAAAAAGGATGAAATTGTTAGTAATTATTTGGAGAGGATTTCAGACATTGTTTTTCAAGTTTCTCCTTTAAAAACTGGTCGAAGTGAAGCTGTTAGTGGATTTTTACATGTTTTGAGACAGGACAATCTGAAAAACGAAATGTATCATTACAAAACGAACGAGAATAATGTTGAAGTTTTTGAACCTGGTGAAACTTATAAATATCTAAAATAAATTTAAGATGAAATTTTGTAATGCTTTTATTTAAATTATAAATCAAATCTAATAAGTCTAATTTATGAATATGTTATTATCCTACATTGGTCTTTTATCCAGACGAATCTCACTGACGATATTAAACTGTCTTTTTAATTAATTAATGAATAAAAAGGGTAAATATAACCTTTAAAAAAAGTAAACATAACCTCAAATTTTTTTTGAATCATTTTTCTTTTCATATAAATATTTAGTTGTGTTATAATTGTTCATGTTATTTTTTAAGTTATTAATCATAAATTTGATGTAATTAATAAATTATTTAATTAATTTATTTCAAAATTAAATAATTTTTTTATTTTTATTAGGTTGGCGGACATTTTGACAAGATTCAAATACAAACAATTCAACATAACCTCACTTTATTATTCTGATTTAATCAATTAAACTTTTTGTGAACAAAAATGACTCGGTAAGTCTACAATTTATTATTTATTAATAATAAATACTCGCTTCATTAATTTCTTCGTTATACAACTCTGTTGTGAGTAAAAAGTGGCTCTTTTTATAGTTCATGATTTAAAACATTCTTTTTCAGTTCCCCAATTTACCTTGTAAGCTAATCGTACAATATGAACTGGTTAACAATCACATTGGGATGATAATTCTATTAATAAAGGTAAGGAAAAGTGTGCTTCAAGCATTTCAGCTTTATCTGTTAATATTTCAATCATTTTTACCTAGGTTCATCCAACTTCAGATAAATCAAGAGCTAATAAAGATAAAATATATTAGACATGACTTCCCATCTTCTTTACTGTTCTTAGTTGATGGAGAGGCAATTACCCACCCAGTAGTGTGGCAGTTTATCATCTCTGATAAGTCCATGCAGTGGAAACATAAAATTTGACAGTTACTTTATGTTGAAATCACAAAAAATTGGAAAATTAGCATCAATTTCGATTATTAGATAACGTTGAAACGTCAAAATTGACTTTAAACAATATTATGTGATGTTGAAACATGAAAATTTAACATGGAAGTATCAAATTTAATTGGTACTTTATGTTAAATTGCCGAATTGAGTAACGTTTACCTAAAAATTGACATCAAATTCGATTAGAAAAGAAATATGTCAAAATGTATGTAGAATACAATGTCAAATTTGTTGGTGAATAACTGAAATGTCAAAATTGACAGTTAACAATTCAATTTTGGTGTTGAAACGTCACATTTGTCTAATAATATCTAAAGAAACCTCAACCTTTAACATTGAATAATATAAAGTTTAATGTTGAAACTTTAAATACCACAGATAATAAACAAAACGTCAAAATTCTAACATATTGAAACTAAAATTAGAAAGTTAACAAAGTAATTAATTAGAAATATAGCGCCATCTATCGGTTTTAATCGCAAATTGAATTAATCAAAGAAGTTAGAAATTATTTATATAATTAACTCTTGATTTATTTGTTAATTTATTTAAAAGTCAAATAGATTTGATTAATTTACAATCAAAATAAGATTTTTAAATAAATTTTTATAAATTTAAAGTTATAAAGCGTCGTGTTACAGTTAAAAGCTAACTTCACTTCGTTTCGTTTGTTAAGTTTGAGTGATTGACAGTTTTAGACTTGTTAAGTTTAAATTTAAAAGATTTCGTTAAAAAATACTTCTACAACCCCAAATTCTTTCTTAATTGATTCTTGGGGTTGTAAATTAAGTCATAAACTTGCGATGTAAGGGACAGTTAATAATTAAGTATTAAAAAATTGTTTCCGGTGAACTTAACGTCAAAAATGGGTAAGTTTAAAAATTTAAATTAATAAATTGATTAATTTTCCTAATTTGATTTAGTGTATGTATGTATTTAGTATTTATAATTAAATTCTTCGTTGATTTACTTTTATTAAAAAAATATAATTAAATAGAAATGTAGCGCCATCTATCGGTTTTAATTGCAACTTGAATTAACGAAAGAAGTTAGGTACAAATTGTGTTACGTCACTTTCTTATTGTTTGAGTGATTGTCAGTTTTAAACTTGTTTAGTTTAAATTTAAAAAAATTCTTTAAAAGGTACTTTAGAAGGTTCAAATTCTTTTCGAATCGATTTCCGCGGTTATAAATGATACTGTAAGTAGTACATTTCTTTTCCATGTGCGAAAAATTAAAGAGATCTTAAATAAAGTTTGTTTTAGTGAACATAACCTCAAAAAGTCGGTAATTTTTATTTATTTAATTATTTTTTTAAAATTTTTTTAAGCAAACTGAGCCAGGAGAAGCTGTAATAGTTGGAAACATCTCAACTGATAAATAAAGGAGATCACATATGGAATTTAGATGAAACCAGTTTCTTTTTGGACTCATACAGAGTGAAGGGAGTTGTAGGAATAGGTCAAAAAGTGTACAGAAATATATAAAGTTCCAGAAAAGCAAGGGAACACATTCATTGAGCCAGCTTTTGAAGAAAAATACTCAGTGGAAATGGTAAAATGACTTTAAAACCCCAAAAGATTTAAAATAAATACATTTTTATTTTACTTAATTTCATTTCTACAATACGGACGGGAATATTTACAATAATTTCATAGAAATTCATAATGAGTGGATCTGACTGAGCGTCAGAAATCGTTTATTTTAAATTAAATTAAAAATAGAAACGAGTTTTATCCGGTTAATATTATTACTATTTTTTTCTTCATTTGGCAAAAATGGCAAATTTAATAACTAACTAAAATCCCCTACATTTACGCTTTATATCATTTTTTGCTTGCTTTTGCCGCCTTCTTATTTGCTTTCGCCTCCATTTTCTTTTCTTTTTCCCTCAAAATACCGTTTTCGATACTTTTGTGGAAGTTGGTGTCATCGGGGCGATTCCACCATTGTTCTTCACCACTGGCAAATAAGACGTAAACGATGTTTGTCACGATGAAGACGCCCAATGAAATGAAGAAAACCACCCTCCATTCTTGAACGGTGTGGCCCGAAGTTAAAGCACCAACTAAGTAAGGTGTGATTATTCCTGTTATGGCCCCCAAACCGTTTATTATGGCCATGAGTGTTCCCGAATAATTCGGCGACAAATCTAAAGCGTTCACTTTCATTCCGCAGTAAAAGGTGCCCATGAAACCCATTGAGATGGTGAATAAAGCGATTACTAAGACATCATCGCAACCAGCGTAAGATGCAGCTACCATAAAGATTCCAGGACCAATGGAAGCTAAAAAAATGATCAATATAAATTAAAATTTGATTTGTGATTTTGATTAAAAAAGCCTTACCAACTGTTGTGAAAAATTTCCTTGCAAATGTAACAGTCATATAGTTCTTAACGATTAACCAATCGCATAACCATCCGGAACCCATTGAAACGATCCACATGCAAATGTATGGCACAGAGGAATAAATACCGTTTTTGGAGACCGTAAAATGAAGCACATCAGACATATAAATAGGTAAATCTGTAACCATGGTGAAGAAGCCCCAATCATGACCAATTTGAGCTGCAACCAGCGCCCACAACGGTACGGAAGTTAAAATGGCCCTCCAAGGGATCTTTTTTGATTTGCTCGAAGTCGATTCAGCCAATTCTTTTCTTAAATAACTTTTTTCTTCATCACTAATAAACGGGTGAGTATCCGGACTTGAGTAACAAATCAAAGTCCAAATAACAAACCATAATAAACCCAACGCTCCAAAAACGTAAAAGACCGAAGACCAATCCCCAGTTGCTTCGATTAAATAACCACTAAGAGCGTTCCCAACAACTGTTCCAATTTGCCCACCAGCATAAACTAATGTACCAATTTTTGCTCGTTCATGTACTGGGACCCATTTTCCAAGCATAGCGTTTAAAGCTGGATAAGTGGTGCCTTCTCCCAATCCTTCGAGGACTCGGAGAGCGATTAACCATTGATAACCACCGTGTTGAACGACGATTGGGGTTAAAAGAGTGAAAATTGCTGTGGATAAAATCCCTAATCCCAGGGAGTATTTTCCACCGAATTTTTCAGCGAGGATTCCACCCGGCATATGGGTGATTACGTAACCCCAGTAAAATGCGCTTAGAATTACTCCTTGTGTTTCTGAATCCCAATCGTATAAATTGTCGCTATTCTGAAATAGGATTAAAAAAATTGTATGTAGACTTTTGTCCGCTGCTGTATATAAAAATAAAAAAATTTTACTTTAATTTAGTTAAAAAATTATGTGGAATTGCTTTATTAACGGATAAAGTAATGATTTAAAGTGTTACTTTGTATATTTAAAAATGAATTAAGATTAAAATATTAATTTTATGAAATAAATGTAAAAAAAATTGACAGATGTCAATTTTAATTGTAACTTGAATTAATCTAAAAAGTTAGAAACAAATAATTTTATTATTTTGTGATTAATTTCGCAACAAGGGTCGAATAAGTTAATAATTAATTTAATTTACAATAAAATTTAAATTAAGTTTATCAAAATAGATAGCTAACTTCACTTTCCTTACTGTCATTGGTGTTGAGTGATTGACAGTTTTAAACTTGCTTAGTTTAAAATTAAAAAATTTCGTTAAAAATTACTTCTACACCCCCAAATTCTTTCTTAATTAATTCTTGGGGTTGTAAATTAAGTGAAAAACTTGCGGTGTAAGGGAAATTTATTAATTAAGTATTAAAAAATTGTTTGCGGAGATCACAACATCAAAAATTGGTAAGTTTAAAGATTTAATTTAATAAATTCGAATAAAAATCGTTTTATTCCCCCAATTTGATTTCGTTTCATGTATTTATTTATTCAATTTATTTTTATTAAAATAATTAATTAAAAATATAGCGCCATCTATTGGTTTTAATCCAAAATTGAATTAATCAAAGAAGTTAGAAACAAGTTATGTTAATTAATTCTTGATTTATTTGTTAATTTATTTAAAAGTCAAATAGATTTGATTAATTTACAATCAAAATAAGATTTTTAAACAAATTTTAATATATTTAAAGTTATAAATAGTCTCAGTTAAAAGCTAACTTCACTTCTTTTCGTTTGTTGTGTTTGAGTGATTGACAGTTTTAAACCAGTTTAGTTTAAATTGAAAAGATTTCGTTAAAAATTATTTCGACAACCCTAAATTCTTTCTTAATTGAATCTTGGGATTGTAAATTAAATGAAAAACTTGCGGTGTAAGGGAAATTTATTAATTAAGTATTAAAAAATTGTTTGCGGAGATCACAACATCAAAAATTGGTAAGTTTAAAGATTTAATTTAATAAATTCGAATAAAAATCGATTTATTCCCCCAATTTGATTTCGTTTCATGTATTTATTTAAATTCTGCTTCAATTTATTTTTATTAAAATAATTAATTAAAAATGTAGCGCCATCTATCGGTTTTAATCCCAAGTTGAATTAATCAAAAGTTAGAAACAAGTTATGTTAATTAATTCTTGATTTATTTGTTAATTTATTTAAAAGTCAAATAGATTTGATTAATTTACAATTAAAATAAAATTTTTAAACAAATTTTAATAAATTTAAAGTTATAAATAGTCTCAGTTAAAAGCTAACTTCACTTCTTTTCGTTTGTTGTGTTTGAGTGATTGACAGTTTTAAACCTGTTTAGTTTAAATGGAAAAGATTTCGTTAAAAATTATTTCTACAACCCTAAATTCTTTCTTAATTGAATCTTGGGGTTGTAAATTAAGTGATAAACATGCGATGTAAGGGAAATTTAAGTATTAATAAATAGTTTCCGGAGATAATAACCTCAAAATGGGTAAGTTTTAAAATTTTAATAAATTCGAATAAAAATTGATTCATTTTCCTAATTTGATTTAGTTTATGTATTTATTTAATATTTATAATTAAATTCTTCGTTGATTTAATTTTATTAAAAAAATATAATTAAATAGAAATGTAGCGCCATCTATCGGTTTTAATTGCAACTTGAATTAACGAAAGAAGTTAGATACAAATTGTGTTACGTCACTTTCTTATTGTTTGAGTGATTGTCAGTTTTAAACTTGTTTAGTTTAAATTTAAAAAATTCCTTTAAAAGTTACTTTAGAAGGTTCAAATTCTTTTTGAATCGATTTCCGCGGTTATAAATGATACTGTAAGTAGTACATTTCTTTTCCATGTGCGAAAAATTAAAGAGAAATCTTAAATAAAGTTTGTTTAAGTGAACATAACCTCAAAAAGTTGGTAAGTTGTATTTATTTAATTATTTTTTTAATTACCGTAATTGGTCCATCTCCCGTTTGGTGATCATCCGGATACGGACAAGTGTCTGTATCGGTCACGTTCGTCGTATTTCTGGGTACAACCATTGCTGTTATAGCGACCGATAAAGAAATCCGCATCGTGTAAGCATTTACGATCGCCAAAAAGCCCATGATGCCCAAAACGTAACGTTGCGGTATCAAAAAACCTATAAAAAATAAAATAATTAATAATAATAGAATAAATCACGTATTGTGATAATGAATTAAATTTGTTAATCTTCTTGGTATTTGGTATCAATGTATTAAGTCGTTGAGTTGCTTAAATAATCTCTTATTGATCATTATCAGTACAATTGTTTAATTTGAAGTGGTGAAATAAGTCAGTAAAAACCCGAACTTAACGTGACAATTAAAATTTTTAAAATGTAGGCCAAATTGTTTATTGATACAACTTTTTGTATTTTTTAAATTTAATGACGTAATTTGAAAATCATCTTGAAATTGACTTTGTTAATTTTCCTGTATTGTGTTTCTCATTTTGCGAAATGATTAGCGAGTTGTGTGCTTGAAATTATAGTGTAATTAGTAACGCCATTGTTCGGTTCAGAAAAATTGAGGAATTTCAAATATTCACCTCCGCTTTTATTGTTTTCTTATATCCATAACATTACCAATAAATAAATACAAACGGAATAAAATTAAAAAGAACGTTGAGATAAAAATGATTGAGAGATTCAAGTAAAGATCTCATCATCGTGAAACTGATAATAACAAAAACGTCGGTGTAGATTATACTGATTATCTCGATGGATTTATTGAAATCTTATTTACGACTTCATTATTTATTATTTTGGAGATGAAAAAATGTGTGTGAGGAATTTTGTAAAACGGAGAGGGGGAATTAATAATAATATAATAAACTTAAGATTTTTTTTTTCTGATACTTGACAGTTGTATTGTAACATTTTTTTATGTAATTTAATCTGACAATAAACTTTGAGTCTCTACGAAATAAAAAAAAATATGAGGAACTGTCAGAATCGGTTGCACAATATTGATAATTTGTTATCTACAAAGACCCATAAAAAATTTAGTTGTTTGACCGATAAAATGCATCTAAATGTTTTATTTTTTTAAAGATTACGTTCTTTATTTTAAAATTTAAATCTAAAAAAATATTTTTTTGTTAATCTTTTGTGTTAGAAATTTGCTTTTTGAAAATCGAATGAAAAAAATTATTCGGCTGATGATGGTTTTAAAAAATGGAATTCCTAATATGGAGAGTAATATGAGTGAAACTCGTAGTAACGAATTTGTGCCATAGAAGAAAACCGCCATTCTGACTCGTGGTCAGAAATTTGTGCCATACGAGAAAACTATGAGTCTAACTCGTGGTGAAGTTAATACATATTGCATAAGTTTGGACACATAGCTGAAGAGCTGAATGTTGTATTGTTAGTTCACTTCTTCTTTTTGCACCAAAATGCTTAGTTCTGTAAGATAAAGAAGTCAAGAATATATAATAAGAGTCAATAACTAGAGGATGAGATATGGCAATGCACGTCAAATGTCCTATAAGTAGATGAATCATCTTCATAGATTACCCAGCAAGAGTCGTCTTCGAAGTTCAACTTATCCAGTCTTATTGTGGTCATATAGACTTTTAAAACTCTGAGAGTGTAATCATCAAATACTTTGCTGTTAAAGATAGTCCAACATAAGATAGAGATGCTTTTATTAGATAGAGCATTTAAGAAGCTCTAGGAACATAACAATCGATGATCTAATAAATACGGCTAAGCGTCGGTTTTGATCTTTAGCTCTCAAAGATGTTACGGAGAAAAGATACTTTAATTGTAAATGTTGGGTCTGACACCAGACTTTTCGACTTTAGCATCAATACAAATTAATAATCTTACCATAACGTCATCATGGAGAAACTTAATTTGCTTTGGAATTTGCATCCGTATTAAAATGTAATAAAAGCTGTAAATGTTTGTGTACAAAATTTTCGATACAACATTGAACTAGTTAGCAGTTTGATTAACACCTCTCATTCTTATTATCATGTGGATAAGATTGTTTGAATAAACTTGGGCTGAATGCGTGTATCATCGTCTAACAGCTAAAATTAAGCTTAATTTTTGTTTAAGTATGTCATATAAGAAGAATATATGATAAAGATGAAAATAATACAGCGACCAATATTATAGTCCAGCAATATATTGCTTATACATCAAGTAATTGTTGAACATCGATGAAACTGACGATGAGAGTTTAGCAGTGTCTATTGTATGGATTATTGGAAATGAAGATGGCTTTGTTTGGTAAAAATCTGACCTACACCAGAACCAACACAATATGATAAAAGTGAAGAAATGCTATAGTTGTGACACCAACAGCCAATTAATGAATAGGTACTATAGATGAATTCAAAGATAATTTTGGTCAAATAAGACAGCCTTGTTTGTCTCTAGTGCAGAACTCAATTGGGTTGGGTTGGGTTGGTCTAGAATTGGAGCTAACAATTGAGACAACTGAATTCTTGCCAATTTTTAATCTTAATATAGAGAAATGAAGACAACATCTCCCTATCATTGGATATGAAGATGGCTTAAATCTTACCTAAACCAGAATCAATACCATATATACAAAAAGTTATAATAATAAGTTTTGCCAAGGCTAAAGCTTTATTTGAATAATAGACTTATTAGATCCCATCCGGTTTTGACAGCTTTTCCGTATTTGATCGACAATGTCAGGCTGATAATTGAACTATTTCATTGGAATTTCTTTGCGTACATTTTGATGTCTAAGCTATGTTGTTTGATGTCAACTTCTGGACAATAGCGCATCATGTACGCAATCTTAACTTTGTTTGCTCTAATATTTTTTGATCTGTCTCTGTACCTTTTTCTTTACACTTACTTTCTCCTTGTTATAATCTTTTATCTATTAGAACTACATGTAAGTATGTGTGTATAAGATGCTTATGAGGAGTTTTCACACATTCCAATCTCACGTGATCTAGTTTCTGAAATCTGTATCATCCAATTGATGTATCATCATAATGTAGAAGTAATCTCTTGTAGAAGGCCTACCAAGGGTAGTGTAAGCATCCTTCGTCAGATTGATGCTTAACTCTTTTCCCTGTAAGTAACTTTTAAGGATTCTTTCAATCTCTTGTCTTATATTCGCCTCTTTCATTAAAAAATATCTTATTTCCCAATATTACAGCAGTATTTGGAATCTTCTTTCTTGGACTTTATTTTCCTAACCTCCAATCTAAGGATGTTTACAATTTTTTAATCGATTTCATCGCAATTACAGTCTACTCTCTCTTCTATTGACATTAAAATGGGGTTGCCTAGGAATTAGTGATGCTCGATTTGACATATCAATACAAAATCGTCAACTTTAGAGGATTCTAACGCCCCGCCCGCAAGCGATCTCGGAGGTTTGAGGATTAAGGTATTCTTATAAGAGACTTTGTATCTTTACTAAGATATACAAGAAACGATTTCGCCTCAAATCGCCGAGGTCGCTTGCGGGCGAGGCGCTACACTTGACTTATCAATACAAAATCATCAACGTTGGACGATTCTAGTGCCTCGTCCGCAAGCAACCTCGGCGGTTTGAGCATTAAAGTGTTCTTATAAGAGACTTTGTATCATTACCAAGATATACAAGAAACGATTTCGCCTCAAATCGCCGAGGTCGCTTGCGGGCGAGGCGCTACACTTGACTTATCAATACAAAATCATCAAGGTTGGACGATTCTAGTGCCTCGTCCGCAAGCAACCTCGGCGGTTTGAGCATTAAAGTGTTCTTATAAGAGGCTTTGTATCATTACCAAGATATACAAGAAACGATGTCGCCTCAAATCGCCGAGGTCGCTTGCGGGCGAGGCGCTACATTTGACTTATCAACACAAAATCATCAGCGTTGGACGATTCTAGCACCTGGCTCGCAAGCGACCTCGGTGGTTTGAAGATTAACATGTTCTTATAAGAGACTGTATCATTACCAAGTTGTATAAGGAACGATTTCGCCTCAAATCGCCGAGGTCGCTTGCGGGCGAGGCGCTACATTTGACTTATTTACACAAAATAGTCAACGTTGCAGGATTCTAGCGCCTCGCCCGCAAGCGACCTCGGCGATTTGAGCATTAAAGTATTCTTATAAGAGACTCTGTATCATTACCAAGATATACAAGAAACGATTTCGCCTCAAATTGCCGAGGTCGCTTGCGGGCGAGGCGCTACATTTGACTTATCAATACAAAATCATCAGCGTTGGACGATTCTAGCGCCTCGCCCGCAAGCGAGCTCGGCGGTTTGAGGATTAACGTATTCTTATAAGAGACTGTATCATTACCAAATTGTATAAGGAACGATTTTGTTTCAAATCGCCGAGGTCGCTTGCGGGCGAGGCGCTACATTTGACTTATCAACACAAAATCATCAACGTTGGACGATTCTAGTGCCTCGCCCGCAAGCGACCTCGGCGGTTTGAGCATTAAAGTGTTCTTATAAGAGACTTTGTATCATTATCAAGATACACAAGAAACGATTTTGCCTCCAATCGCCGAGGTCGCTTGCGGGCGAGGCGCTACACTTGACTTATTAATACAAAATCATCAGCGTTGGACGATTCTAGTGCCTCGCCCGCAAGCAAGCTCGGCGGTTTGAGGATTAACGTATTCTTATAAGAGACTGTATCATTACCATGTTGTATAAGGAACGATTTTGTTTTAAATCGCCGAGGTCGCTTGCGGGCGAGGCGCTACATTTGACTTATTTACACAAAATAGTCAACGTTGCAGGATTCTAGCGCCTCGCCCGCAAGCAACCTCGGCGATTTGAGCATTAAGCTGTTCCTATAGGAGANAAAATCATCAACGTTGGACGATTCTAGTGCCTCGTCCCCAAGCAACCTCGGCGGTTTGAGCATTAAAGTGTTCTTATAAGAGACTTTGTATCATTACCAAGATATACAAGAAACGATTTTGCCTCAAATCGCCGAGGTCGCTTGCGGGCGAGGCGCTACATTTGACTTATCAATACAAAATCATCAGCGTTAGACGATTCTAGTGCCTCGCCCACAAGCAACCTCGGCGGTTTGAGCATTAAAGTGTTCTTATAAGAGACTTTGTATCATTATCAAGATACACAAGAAACGATTTTGCCCCAAATCGCCGAGGTCGCTTGCGGGCGAGGCGCTACACTTGACTTATCAATACAAAATCATCAGCGTTGGACGATTCTAGTGCCTCGCCTGCAAGCAACCTCGGCGGTTTGAGCATTAAAGTATTCTTATAAGAGACTGTATCATTACCAAGATATACAAGAAACGATTTCGCTTCAAATCGCCGAGGTCGCTTGCGGGCGAGGCGCTACATTTGACTTATCAACACAAAATCATCAGCGTTGGACGATTCTAGAGCCTCGCCTGCAAGCAACCTCGGCGGTTTGAGGATTAACGTATTCTTATAAGAGACTGTATCATTACCAGGTTGTATAAGGAACGATTTTGTTTCAAATCGCCGAGGTCGCTTGCGGGCGAGGCGCTACATTTGACTTATTTACACAAAATAGTCAAAGTTGCAAGATTCTAGCGCCTCGCCCGCAAGCAACCTCGGCGGTTTGAGCATTAAGGTGTTCTTATAAGAGACTTTGTATCATTACCAAGATATACAGGAAACGATTTCGTTTCAAAACGCCGAGGTCGCTTGCAGGCGAGGCGCTGGATTTGATATATCAAGTTAGTACTCAAAGATGTAAAGATGTCATATATCTATCTTGCTTTATTGCTTTCAAAAGTGCACCATGACTTTATGGACACACTGTATTAGCGGAAGCATTTCTTCTTCTTGTACTGTACATAATATCTTTAAGATTCTTCCTCAGATATCTTTTCTTCTGAATTTTAATTTGCGTCATAGTTCGTCCTAAGATAGAGGTTTGATGTAGTGCATCCTGCTCTCATAGGTAGTCCAGCATGAGATAGAGATGCTAGACTACGTATGGGGACAAGATGCTTTACAAATCCAAAAGGATTGAGGTTGATTTATGTTAGTGTAATCTCTCATTTATAGTCCATCATAGACTTAGATGTATCAAGATTAAAGTTATTAATTAAATATTTTGTATAAGTATTAAAATATTTTAACGAGAATAAAAAGTACTTAAAGAATTCCACAAAGTCCACAAAGTACGTTATTGGTAAATACATAAACGTAATAGAAAAATACCTAACCGCATAAACAATACACCTATTTTTTATAATATGCAAAACATTTCTAGGTTAAAACCGTCAAAACCAAGATTTTCTATTAATACATTTCAAAATTATATTTATAATAACATTAATAATTCATTAATAAACACAATTGTGTTTTCCAATTAACTTCTGATTATTTATTTTTTTCTTCTAACTTTATTTAACATTATTGATTGTTTTTAATTAAAACTCAATTCGTGATTTATTAAGCTTTTTCAAATTACACGTGTAACAACTTTTTCAAATAAGATTAAACATTCTTACATGGCTTGAATTAATTTTAAGTGTTAATAATTAAAGGGGACCCCCGTACATTTAATTAAATTTTGCTTAAAGTGGAGATCGATAACGATTAATGTTTTTGCATATCGCCTAATTACTATTATTAAGATTTGGTGGTTATCAAATACTTGAAATAAATCAATAAAAATAAGTTAGGAAAGTTTACACAATAATATTTTTTAGTAAGTTGTAATTAGTTAATTAGTTAATAATAATAGTAAGTTTAATTATTCTAATAAAATTTTACTTACATTTTGATACGGTTTTTCTCCAACCAGTTAACATTTTCGAAAACAAAATAAAAAACCTTTTCTTTCAATCAAACTTTTTGTGTTGAAACTTTTTCTTTTTTAAACAAGTCTTTCTCCTCCACCTGTATGTGTTTAACGAATTTGGCTTTGATTGTTCGTTTCGTTCACGCTGAATGGGTGATTTTTGAGAATAGAAAATATTTGGTCCTGGTTTTACTCAACCTAAACTAACCCACATATCGCATCGAACTGAACTCGTTAGGTTTTTTGTGGACTTATATATCGATGTACGACGACCTAGCGCATTGTTAGTTTAGTAACAATCCCGCGAGTTGCTTGCGCAGTATTTTTTTTTTGTAACATACTCAAGTTTTTTTTTGTATTACTTATTATTATTATTATTTATTAATTATTATAAAATAAATACAAAAAAAAATTAACTTTATGAAACACAAAAAATCTTTTTTGTAACAATAAAAAATAACTCAAAATTCAATTCGTTTTGTTATCGATGCTTTGTGCAATTTAATTACGATTTGTATGATTTCACTTCCACATGAGGAATTTATTTTATTGAAAGTCATTTTAGATGAGTGCTAATGTAAATATTGTTAGGGTTTAAAAATTTCAAACGAGATAGTGGAAAAAATGTTTTTATCCAATGATTGTGAGAAAATAGGATAAAAAAACAACGAAATAATAAGATTAAATAAATAATAAATATTGTTGATTGATGGCCAAAAAAGAAAATAATTTTTATTTTTTTAAAAGAACAAATTTGCGGTTAATCAGTGAGGAATTTAAAGAATTTCGTCTCGCTTTGACAAACAGAATCGGTTCTAGGTACAAATCGTTAGCAAGTGTTTGCTAATTTAAATGCGAATATCTCGTTAAGGAGTTATTTTTTTTTTTAACGTTGCCAAAAATAAGCTTCTCGGTTAATCAAATTTGTTCTTTACTTTATTTCTTGGTTTTAACATAGATAATTATAGATGGATTTACCATTTTACGTTTAAATTATATAACATACAAGAACTTAGAGAATTGGGTTTTTGATATTTACCACTTCAACTCCATCAGATTTCTTTATAACGACTCATTAGATAACAATTTTTAAGTATTATTTATTTAGCAAAGAAATTTGCGGATAATATTAAGGTTACACCTTTTTTTGTCATAAAAATCAAGCAAAATATTTTGGTGTATTTGTTCAAAATACTTTAACAAATTGCATTCAATTTCAACATTAGATATAAATATTATCGATTTATCGTCTCTATTTGAATCATAAGACATGATTCAATTAATTACTGAGCCGATCTTTGTCACCGAGTTTTTTTGCGACATTGTTATCAGTAGTTATTAATTAGCTTATATGGTTATTAAGAGAAGAGTGACTTTTAATTACTGCTTTTGTTAGTAATATTTATAACAAAGGAGATAGAAAAATATGTTCTAACTACCCAGAGATAAGTGTATCTTCATACTTAAACAAACTACTTAATATCGAGACCCATCTTGTGTTTATAGATCTGGCTAAAACATGACATGATTAGAGTTGTTAGGTGATAATGGCCGAGGATAGACTAGTCGTGGATTAGACGCTGCGCAAATTAAAATTGCAATATGAGGAGTATGGGCTCTATTAACTCGGAAAAGATTAGAACTGGTGGTGCATGAAATGGAAAAAGATTTGCCTCTAGAGGACAACACTGACAAAACGTGACATCCTACACCTGGGGCTGCAAATTAGACAAGGAGAATAGCAATGACTAAAGGAATGGTGATATCAGGCAAAAAAATAGAATTGACTCTATGGAGTCTATAGAAAAATCTCAGTTATTATGAAAGATAGAAAATTGCGGCTTTCGCCAACCTTAGCTACTTTTTTGTGAAACTTACAATGGCGCAAACCGCCATCTTCGTTTTTGATATACAGGGTGTTTCAAAATTTACAATTTTCAGATCCCCCTGTATATCGGCTATCCGTAAACGTAAAAACGGGTTCTAATAGATTTTTTCACGTAGAATCCAATTTTTGTAGCCATCACGGTTTTTGCATTATAAAGAGCTGAGTGTTTTAGAAGTTGAGTATTCAGTATTTGAGTTATGTTTATAACTCAAAAACCTTGATGATTAGAAAAATTCTACGTGCACCATTGGATTCCACGTGGAAAAATCTATTAGCACCCGTTTTTACTTTCTTTCTAATTTTCCGGATAGCTGAGATAGCCGTTTTTACGTTTACGGATAGCCGATATACAGGGGTGGCTGAAAATCGTAAATTTTAAAACACCCTGTACATCAAAAACGAAGAGGGCTGTGAAAATTTGGTTTGCGCCATTGTAAGTTTCACAAAAAAGTAGCTTAGGTTCGCGAAAGCCGCAACTTTCTATCTTTCATAATAACTGAGATACCCTGCAAATCCTTCGAAATTTGGACACCCACCCTGTACATTAAAAACAATCAAGGTAAAGAGACTTACAGAGTGAAAAGAGACCAAGAAAATGGCAACAGAGGCCTAAAAGAGTCATGGAAAAGATGCCACACAATACATCGAGCTGGCGTAATAAATAAAAAAGTAATATGTCTGATTGCGCATTAATCTCACTTGCAGAAAATTTTTCAATCACCAAGCCTATATTTAGCTACTTCACATTGTTGTGGAAAATCTAGTCGCCAAGCTGAGCAAGTTGTTTTCAAGTCTTAATCAGTTTGGTTGAAATAGTCTGTAATAGCCTTGTTCAAATCTTCTCCTATAACAATTCACAGGTTAGACAAAACCTGTGAATGTTTGTTTCAGATTTTTTATTTTTCTACTTTCTATATTTGTATTTTTTCTAGTACTTGTGATATATCTGATATAGTTCAACGATATCATTTTAATTCTCAAATAATGCATTTCCAACATCCAGCATGCACTCTTTTCAAATATCTGCATTTGTGGATGATTTTATATGTTTGGCTAGAGTCTAAGAAATACATAAAGAAGCCTCTAAACATTTTTCTTCTTTAGTTATACTTAAACTAATATTTGTATGACAAGGAACTTATTAGTGTAGTTGTGTTAAGAAGACCGACATCTTTTCTGTACTATGACCGCAAAGTCACATTCATGCCGGACATCCAGAAGTTTAACCTGAAAATCAGCAAAATTCAAAAAGAAGCTGGATATAATATTCGTGCTAGAACCGTACAAGAAGTTAATCCTTATCATTCAGGACTATCAGAGTAAGGATAATATTGACCATGTGTGTTGACAAAAGTCTGGCAGGTTTAATTATATATGATGCAAGTGTGTAGGGGAAAAAGCCTACAAGTTAAACCATGACAGAAATTGAATTTGAAGCAAAGGGGACTCCTTATAAGACTCAATACATGGGTGTACAGAGTAAGGACACAAGGACACTACCAATGGACTTAGAAGTACATAGTGATCAGCATGACACCAGATGAAAAGACAGAAGATGGACCAAATGAATGTACCTACTCTTAGGTTGGGTTATGTACCTACTCTATATACCTATTGGACGCCTGACAGAAAAAAACGACTTTTAACCTTCCTTCAAGTGTGGGGGAAGGACTGGAAATGACTGTCTATATCCTTTATGCCTTCATAACAGACACTGTTGAAGAATAATTGGTCACTACGGTGGCAGAAATAAAAATCCTACAGCTGGGCCAAAGTGGAAACAATGGCAGCATTGAAAATAAACAATGCTATGCTATGTACACTTAATTATGTCCTAAATTAAATGTTGCAATTATTCAATCTATGGCCTAATCTATATTTTTTAAAGGACTAATTTAAAAATTATACGTATAGATTTACGTATAGAACATTTTGCAATGTATATTTATTGAAATATACGTCTATTCACAATTTGCGTCAATAAAACGTCAATTGTTTGAAAGGGTTATCCACAAAGAGCTCGACGCAGTAGGATTTCAGATGGCGGTGAGACGGCGGGGGAATGTAAATCGATACACAACGGGTTTTGAAGCTTTACTTATAAAACGAACACAATGTAAACCGCTCGGAATAACTCGGAGTAGCTCCAGAACGTAAAACGAATACAGTAATTGTGTTAATTCAATTTCTGTTTCAACTGGAAATGTCCTCAACTGTTAAACACTTCTTAGCAGTCACTTGGTCTAGTAAAGTACTTCCTCAGAACAGTTATAAAATCTGAAAAACGCACAACTTCTGATCTCGAGAACCAAGCATTAATCTACGTCATCCGTACAACAACAATAACACAAAATCGTATCCATCAACGTCATTTGCTAATAAGTCTACTTGCAAGGTTCTTAACAAGGAACTCAAACACTTTCAACTGCAAAGTCTCTAAATTAGAAACAATGCCTATACTATATGCCTAAGTCTCTAAAATGAGTAGTTTACGAGCAAAAAAAAAACATGCAAAATACTGTATATTTTGCATGTTTATTTGGCCACTCTATACATACTTTATATATGCGAGAAAGTAAAAACTATGTCAAGATTAGATAGATTCACTAATCATGAACTAGTTTTACTACCAACAGAAACATCAGAAAAAGCCAACCCAACCCAATCCAAACCTGTACGAACATAACATCAAAGCAACCTAATTCCAAAGCAAAACAACCCTCATACAAGTCAGTTCAACCCATTATATTTAGCATTCGACGTAAATCCAAGCTTACTCCAAATCCTAAAAACTTAAAATTGAAGTAACATAACGTCAGAGTAACCTAACTCCAAAACAAGGCATCCAACCTCAAAGCAATACAACCCTAAAACAAGCCAACTTAACTCATTATAGTGAAGATTTGATACAAATTTATGCCATCCTTAAAATAGACAACTCAATCCATTGTATTTAATACTTGACACAAATCCAAAACAAGCCACCCCAAATTTACGCCAACCTAACATCAAAGCAACCTAACTCCAAAATAAGGTATCCAACCTCAAAACTCATTATATTGAAGATTTGATACAAATTTATGCCATCCTTAAAATAGACAACTCAGTCTATTGTATTTAATACTTGACACAAGTCCAATACAAGCCACCCCAAATTTACGCCAACTTAACATCAAAGCAACCTAACTCCAAAATAAGGTATCCAACCCCAAAGCAATGTAAGCTTAAAACAAGTCAGCTCAACCCATTATACAGGGTGAATTTTTTTCCATGTTTAGTATAGAGATCTCGAAAACTAGCGGAGATAGAGAGACGATTAAATAGGGAAAGAATTGCAGTTTCATAAACTCAATTTAATGAGCTTTTTGTTTTTTTGATAAAATTCATGGCTAACTAGATATCTCGAAAAAACCGTTTTTTTGTTATATCGTTAGATACCTATGGCTCCGCTATTATTGATTTCAGTTTGTAAATCGTGTTTCATCTATCCACAAAACTTTAATCCTCATAAACCACGTACTTTATTCTACACGCTTATTGTAGTCATCTGGGGGTAGTGTTGAATGAAATCTATGCTTTTTTAGTTCTCTTACGACAGTACGTTGTGACGTGCCTGCTTCAGATGCAACTTGTGTTGCAAGATCTCTGTACTAAACATACCCTAAAATAACTCACCCTGTATACAGGGTGTTCCGGTGACTCGGGGCATAAAATTAATCTCATACTAGAGCAAAAATGATGACGATTCGTGAAAAAGAACGCGTATAACTCGAAAACAGTCAATGTTATCAAAATTTTCAAAGAGTGATAAAAGTTTCTAAAATAAATTTTCTATTAAAAAGTACAAAAATAAATGTAGGGTTACGAGCGAACAAAAAAGTTCTGAACAAATAAATTTTAGGGACAGCCTGTATAACAAGGTTGTCGCCAAAATTGGTTCAATGATTTTGCTTGATATTTGTTTACCCTGTACCAAATTTCAACGCTCTACCATAAATGGTATTGAAAATATTTAGAAAAATGTGTTAAAATTTCTGAACTTTGATGGCCCATATCTTGGCCATTTGAAGACTTTTATAATAATTTTTTTTTACGAATCGTCATCTCTTTTGCTTTAGTATATGATCCCCGAGTCACCGGAACACCCTGTATACACTTGACACAAGTTCAAGCCAACTCCAAATCAACATAACATAAGACACTTACAGATACTTTCTGCTCTTCTGGAACATTCGACAGATTCCAAAGTATACAAAATTCCAAAGAATCAAAAAAGATTAAACTAAATTTTATTTATAATAATTTTTATTATTATTTTTTTACAAAAAATAATTACTACATTTACAAATAATCTCATCATATTTTTAATAAACTTCCGTCATACGTATATTCTTTTCTTTAATACATTTATCATTATTTTCATTTGGTGGTTGATCCCACCATTGAGTTTTTGCAGTTCCAAAATACAAATATTGAAGATTTGTTGCAGCTAAAACTCCCAAAGTTATCCAAAACACCAATCTCCATTGGCTTAGAGTATGCTTTAAAAAAACTTGATTGATTTCAAAATATTTCCAAAATTATTCAAAATCTTACATCTTCAGTTAACGCCCCTATCAAATAAGGTGTTATAATTCCAGAAACCGCCCCTAAACCATTAACAATAGCCATCGTAATCCCTGCGTAATTCGGGGATAAGTCTAAAGCGTTTACTTTCGTGCTGCAAAAATATGGTCCCATAAAACCCATCGATATTGTAAACAAACTAACTGCTAAAGCTCGATTACATTCAGCGTAAGATGCAGCTACTATAAAAATTCCAGGACCGATAGAAGCTAGAAGAAAAAAATAATAATTACAAGTTCTTTGTGATAAAAAAATAATTTTTACCAATGGTTGTAAAAAATTTTCTTGCAAAACTAATCGAAAACCAATTCTTTTTTAAACAATAATCTGAAAAATAACCCATTCCAACTGCAACGATCCACATTACAATATATGGAAGTGACGACCACAACCCATTTTCACCAACATTAAATTTCATAACATCAGACATATACTTAGGAAGATCGGTTACCATTGAAAAAAACCCCCAATCGTGTCCAATCTGAACAATAACCAACGACCAAAGTGGAATCGACGTTAAAATACTCCTCCAAGGAACGATTTTTCGCTCATTTTCTTGATGCAAATGACTCAATTCATCCTTTAAAAACAAGCGTTCCCGGTCGCTTATAAAAGGATGATTTTCCGGGTCAGAAAATGTTAAAACCAACGACAACAAAAACCATATTATTCCAATTACACCAAAAACGTAAAAAACCGAAGACCAAGTTCCGGTTATTTCAATTAAATAACCACTTAAAACATTTCCAATTACAGTACCTTAAAAAAATTTGTTAAAAATTGTTATTTCAAATTTTCTTTATTTCAACCTAAATGTGAACCGGAAAATACGATTCCACTCATTCTTGCTCGTTCACCTAACGGCACCCAACGTGCTAAAAGAGCGGTTACAGCAGGATATGTTGTACCCTTACAACAATTATAAATTAATAATAATTATGAATGATAACGTGTTGACTAATCATAGGATAAAATTTAATTAATTAGCAATTTCTAACGGAGATATCAACGTTCTTATCGATTCCTCTTGAGATTATTCTTTTATTGGGTTTTGTGGAAAAATCGGATCATAAAAACATTCATAAAGTTATAAAAAATGATCAGGCTACTGAGTAATGCCGAGATTAAAATTTTTTAAACTTGAGTTTCGTATTCCAATATTTTATCTATCAATATTGACATTGATGTGTTTTTTGATGGTTTAAATTTATTGCAAAATTGTACCAATATGTTTCTTATTTCAATCATTTTGTTCAAATTATCACGTTTTTAGTTAACTATTATTAATGATAACACAATGTGTGATTTTGTAAGAGAACGCGCGTGGTGATGTTTATGGTTAGATACAATTCAAAGGAAATAAATTAAAGGTATCTTGACTAGATTATAGAAAACCTTGATCTCCAGGTGAAGGATACAAACCACGATATCATGTCAGAATCAAAATCAAAATGGTCAGTATTGGGGAAAAGGAAATCCCAGATGGATGAGAAAACAATACACCCAGTATCCTGAAAAAAATAATGTTTGGGGAGGAATTATCAACAATCAAATTATTGGACCTTACTTTTTTGAAGAAACATTGAACGGTCCATGATATCTTGATTTTTAGGCGTCTGATGGATGAATTGAGAAATCAAGCAAATAAGGCAGTGAGAATATAAAGCTATCTAGTTGTAAGAGATATAATATGGCACAATACATACATGGGTGTAGAAACCAAAGTCCGAATATACAAGACGTTTCATACTAAAGTCATAATGAGGACTACAGAAATGAGGAAAACTTGGTAACTTTGATACCAAACGCAGCCTCCTCAACCTCAATCCTACCCAACTACATTTTACACGTATTCATTTACATTATTGGATTACCCAATTAATAATATTAGTATTTATTTAATTCAGAAAAGTGGGTCATTTTTAAAAGAAGCATCATTATAACTTGTAGGCAAATTACTATGAGAAAAAATGGAGAAGGGAAATCCAGGAGTAGTGAGGGATTAATGGATCCCCACAAAGAGTGATTTGAAAAACTTTAGTCAAATTCGAAGGCGATGACAAACCTAAAATCATGGTCAAGAAACCAGTTCAATTTAGGTACTAAGTTTTTTTATTGCGATTTAATAATTAATAAAATTTGACCTAAAAAATTATTAGTGGGTGGATTGAGTAGCTCATTGGGTATAACTGCCTGTCCCCCCAAGTCATGATAAAGGAGGAGGATCTATAGTCTATAGGTTAGGTTCACTAAGCTCACAGAACTACTGGTAAAGCATCGAGAAATGAACGATTGACATGATGGACAAATGCATCACAAGAATAGCTTGTTGGAATATAACTTCATGGAATGGAAGGGACTAGGAGATCGTGGCTGATATACCACCAAGAAGAGTCAGGCAAGGTGACAGTCTCAGTCCATTCTTATTTAATCTGCTAATGGACAATGTTATAGAAACTATGCACCTTGGTTACACAATAGGACAAAAACAACTTTACAAGATCTACCAAATGAACAAAGAACTGAACATGCTGGTCTCTACTGATTAAACCAAATGCATGGTGATAGCAAAGGGAGCCAATAAGATGCAAATTGGTCGTTGGAAACACTCTAACCGAGTAGGTCATAAAGTTTGTCTACCTGGGCGTACAAACTTCCAGCTACAATGATGCTGTTAAAGACCTAAGACCACAAACTAATAAGACAGCAGTAAAATCATTCGCCTTAGAGACCTTTGGTATAATAAATACATAAGAACTGACAGCAAAGTTAGAATATATAAGACGTGCATAATGTCCAACAATAATAACAAAAAGAAGAAGAATGTCACGAGGGAGAATGAAAAAAATAGAAAGAAGCGAAAACGCTTATAATACGATGGTTATGGCTTATGATTTTTACTACACATTCAAATTTTTAATGCAAAAATAGTGCTTTTTGTTTTTCATTTACATTCAGCAGTTATCAATATGTTTCTTTGAAACAGTTTTTTCAGTCACTAAATTGAAGTTTTTATAATTACACTTCAAATGTTCGCTAGTGAAATAAATACAACTAATTACAGTTGTATTGATCTACAGGATGGCCAAAAACTGAAGTAGATGTGATATTAATCATTGGTCTACAATTTCATGTGATAAAGCCGAGGCGCAGTAATATGATCACCAGTTTCAGCTTGTTATAATATTAATCGCAGAGCCTCGGTCGCAAGCAACCTCAGTTTAATGAGATAACATACAGTTCCCATTTTAATTACAGCCGAGGCCGCTTTTACGATTTCACGTCATGAAAAGCTGAGTCTGTTTGCGACTGAGGCATAGTAATATGAAAACCAGATTCATTTTCATATAATATTAATCACTGAGCCTCGGCCGCAAGCGACCTCGGCTTTAATTATAGCTAAGGTCGTTTGCGGCTGAGGCACAGCGATATAATGACCAGTTTTGTTGATTTCTTGACCAGTTGATTAAATCGGCTAAATTAGACCGGAAGCGGCGAACATATTGTAACTATTTTAGATCGAAAGGTAGGGATGAACACTTCATATACAGGGTGTGCCAAATGTCTGGAATATAATCAATAATTTCGCCATTTGTGATTTCTAAGGAAAATGTTTCAAATATTAGTTTCTTAAGCCGCAACCTCGGCTTAATTAAATAAAATCATACACTTCCCACTTTAATTAAAACCGGGACCGCTTACGACGACGTTAATCATAATTACAGCCGAGGCACAGCAATGTTACGACCTTTTTCAGCTTGATATAACATTACTCAATGAACCACGGCCTCAAGCGACCTCGGCTTAATCAAATAAAATCATGCAATTCTCACTATAACTATAGCCGAGGCCGTTTGCGACCGAGGCGCAGCAATGTTACGATTATTTTCAAGTTGATATAACATTAATCAATGAGCCTCGGCCGCAAGCGACGTCGGCTTAATTAGTCAAAAGGTTTACAATGTCAAGTGATAAAACCGAGGCGCGGTAATATGATCACCAGTTTCAGCTTGTTATAATATTAATCGCAGAGCCTCGGTCGCAAGCAACCTCAGTTTAATGAGATAACATACAGTTAACATTTTAATTACAGCCGAGGCCGATTTTTCAATTTCACGTTATGAAAAGCTTGCGACGAAATCAGATTCATCTTCATATAATATTAATCACTGAGCCTCGGCAGCAAACGACCTCAGCTATAATTAATGCCGAGGCAATATAATTAATTTGCGGCCGAGGCACAGCGATATAATGACCAGTTGATTAGATCGGCTAAATTAGACCGGAAGCGGCGAACATGTTGTAACTATTTTAGATCGAAAGATAGGGATGAACACTTCATATACAGGTGTGCCAAATGTCTGGAATATAATTTTACCATTTGTGATTTCAAAGAAAAATGTTTCAAATACTAGTTTCTTTATTAATCGAGGCGCATTTTTTGGCAATATTTGTTTGTATTGTTTTTTGTTTCGTTGCTATGGCAACTAACATTATTATTTTAAGTGAGATGCATATATTTTTTTGCATACTTTGATAGAGGATAAATCCTTCTATGCAATGAACATATCAAATCATATGGTTGTATAGAAATAAAATCGAGAAAAAATGCGTTTTCTAAAATTTTAAATAAAATAAGGCCCTTGACAGCTTTAAATGTCAAAAAAATGACAGTTTAAACAAATATGGCGCAATTAAGCGAACGCAAGGAATCCAAATGTTAATAATGTATGGGTACGGTGCAGGTTATAGATTTGATTTGATCCTTTATCAAAAAATGCAAAAAAACATATGAATCCCGTTTAAAATAACAATGTTGGTTGCCATAGCAACGAAACAAAAACAATACAAACAAGAAGATATCGCCAAAAAATGCGCAGCGATTAATAAAGAAACTTATATTTGAAACATTTTTCTTTGTTGGCGAAGTTATTGACTATATTCCAGACATTTGACACACCCTGTATACAGGGTGTTTCGGTGACTCGGGGAACAAATTTAATCACATATACTAGAGTGAAAATGATAACGATTCATGTAAAAACAATAGTATCTAACTTCGCGGGAACAATACTATACAGGCTGTTCCTAAAGTTTGTTTGCTCAGAACTTTTTTATTCCATCATAACCCTACATTTATTTTTACAGATTCTAATAGTAAATTTAGTTTAGAAACTTTTATTACTCTTAGATAATATTGATAAAAATCGCCGGTTTTGTGTTAAGTGTAAAAATGTTCCGATTTCAATAATAGCATTAAAAAAAAAAAGAAATCTAAGTTATCACATTAGTTATGACAGCTCAGTTCGATTTTCACTTGTCATTGCCAATTCAGATTATTTATTTATTTTTTTTTTAGTGTTATCGAATTCGGAACCTAACATTTTTGCATTTAATACGAAAAGGGTGGTTTTTATCAATGTTCTCTAAGAGTGATAAAAGTTTTTAAACTAAGTTTACTATTAGAAACTGCAAAAATAAATGTAGGGTTTTGATAGAATAAAAAAGTTCTGATCAAACAAACTTTAGGAACACCCTGTATAGCATTGTTCCCGCGTACCGATCCAACTCAAAAATTGCCTAGTGATTTTACGTGATATTAGTTTACACTATACCAAATTTCAACGCTTTACCATAAATAGTTATTTTAGGAATATAGGTGTAATGGAACCAAAATAAACAGGGTGTCCCTAACCTTTTGGCGGACACTGTATGTTGTGTTCATACTCCTAACAGTATTAAAGTGTTGTTAAGCAACATCTATCCTTTAATTTATGAAACTATTATTTTGTTATAATTGATTTCTCCCTTATATTGTCCAAAAAAGTGCTAAAGTGATTTTTGGCACAAAAAGTGAATTGCCAAATTTTTCTCACAAAATTAATACTTAAATTATGAAAACTTTTTATATATCTTACTTCTCCAAGTCCTTCCAACGCTCTTAAAGTAATCAATCCTTGCCATTCAAATTTTTCGACGACAATCGGAGTTAATAGCGTAAAAATAGCGGTCGATAAAATACCTAAATTTAACAGATATTTTCCTCCATATCTTCCAGCTAAGATTCCACCTGGAAGATGGGTAATTACATAGCCCCAATAAAACGATGAAAGTATTAATCCTTGCCTGGTCTCGCTCCAATCATACAAATTATCAGTATCCTTAAATATATCAACTTATTAAAACAAAAATAAATAAAAAGGAAATGCGATTTAAAATATAAAAAGGAAATCATTGATCAAACAAATCTAATAATCTTTAAGGATTAACAAAATTCCAAACGCTTATTTTTACTTAAATTATTTTGATCGATGCAATTCGTTTTTTATCTAAATTATAGATTGACATCGTAATCTATAATTCTTATCAAAATTGAGTTTTATTTTTATTAAAAATCATTGTTCGTCATTTTTCTTACCATAATCGTTTTATTTCCCGAATTCGGATTTGGGCACGTATCATCGTGGTTGATGGAACTCGAATTTTTTGGCAGAACCATTTCTGTTATTGCCACCGATAAACAAATTCTCATCGTGTAAGCGTTAAAAATCGCGAAAAACCCCATTATTGCAATAACATATCTTTGTGGGATTAAAAATGCTAAAATATGAATTAAATTTTTGTTAATTTTTATTATTTTTTTTTTACTTACTTTTTGATACAGATTTTTTCCAACCCAACAACATTATTGATTTGATCTTTTTGTTAGCTTTTGTGATTTGCTTTCACAACAAATTTTCATTTAGTAGTGTTCAATGCAATAGTGATGTTAATATTAACATTTTATCTTATATTTTATCTTTATGGTTTGCATAAAAATGGTTTGGATTTAATGTTCCTCAGTTTCATTTCGTTTGATAGAGGTATTGTGATGAATGCAAATAATAGATAAGAATTTTTTGTAATAAACTTGATTTATATGTTTTATTGTTGGGATTTTATTTTGATGGAAATATTGCATAAAGTATAAGAAATTCCAACGTTTAAAAAAATATTTTTTGTTTGGTAGACCACTAATCATAATACAATTGACCGTTAAACCGTTTTAAGTGTGTAATTGTGTCCTGCACATTCATTGTTTCATTATTAACAAACATAGGCCCATTTTATTATTATTACTATTCATTACTTTTATTTTCAAATTACATCATCATGCCTAATTATATTAATTTAAATAGGTAGTGTATGGAAAAATATTCGACACATATATTGTTATTTCTGCCCGATCGCCGATTAATAATAATTTAGTAATAATTAGTAATAATTCAAAATCTAGAACAATCTAGAACTATACTCTGTTTTTAAACCAGGAGGAGTAATCTGACTTTCGCGCTTACTCCTCCTGGTTTAAAAACAGAGTATAGTTCTAGTGCAAGTGTTAGTTCTAGTTTTAATTGTTATTCAGCGCTAAGTTGTATATTTTTAAGTTTCGGGTTTAGCCCTGTGTCTTCAGACGCTGAATGTTAGGTAAGGTTAGTTTTGTTTACAAACATTAATTATACCATGAAGTATTCTTTGGCAATT